TCCCCCCCCACCCCCCACCCCCGCTTGCTGGCTCTCAGCCACAGGAGCCAGCCATCGCTGCCAGCCCAGCACTGAAAGCTCACGCAGATGGTCCCATCCTGCACCCTGACACGGCCCCAACAAGCGTGCAAGGCTTGGGCATGGATACCAGCACACGCAAGTAGGCATGGAGATGTTGAGGGTGTAAAACGGAGACGTGATGTCTCTGACGTGGTTTTGCCGCACAGCACTCAGCTGCCAGCGATCTCCAGGCATGCGGTGCCTCCAGCACAGCCTTGCATTTCTTCTCCCTCCTTACCCGGGGTGTAGGGTGGGCTGTCGAGCTCTCCCGGGGGGCAGCCCTCTTCAGACCCATCCATGAAATTGGATGGTTCATTCATGTCCTAAGCAAAGAAATCACGGAGCAATTTCAAGGGGGAAGTTCTGGGGATTAGCAGATAAACCTGGAAAAGCTGCATGTGAGGGACAGATGATCCCGCCGGGACACACCGGGCGCGAGCCGGGCTGCTGGCAGGGAGTGACCTGGGGGCAAGGAGGGACTTACAATCCAGAGGCCGTCGAAGGGCACGTGGGCATGGAAGCGCTGCAGGTTCTCCAGCCACCACTGGTGCGTATCCGGGTTGGAGAAGTCTGCAAAGGCAGTGAAGCCGGGCCAGACCTGCGGTGAGACCACAAAACCACGAGTTCAGCTTGCAGGAGGCGTGGGGGGGGCAGCCACGAGGAACAGGGTGCCACGGGGCTGTAAGCACGCCGAAGGACCAGGGTGGAATGGGCAGTAAAGCAGAAGATAAACCCAGGCTGACTGCTTCGAGTCCTGGATGCTGCATGTACAGCATCGCTTCTGCCCCCATGCTACCCGGGAGCCTCGGGCTGCTGGGGACCCCACACAGCCGGGCGGGCAGCAGCGGGGAGCAGCTGCTCTGCCTCTGCTTCCACAAGCCCTGACACCACCCAGCCCGGGGCACGTCAGGGAAGAGCTGTAATTTCTCCGCACTTTGCCTCACTCCAGGAATTTTGGCTGATTCATTTTTCCCCGAGTTTTCAGGCTGCGTTAAAAGCCCCCTCCTTGTAGACAGCGAGGGAGAGCCGGTGGGAGCAAATGGCTGGGGAAGCGGGGGGAGAAACTGGGAGGGAACCACCGCAGAGCAGATCCGGAGGCACGTGCCCATTTCAGACAACCTCCCCTCACCCCAGAAACGGGAAGGTAAATAAATCAGATGACAGGCCTTGGGCTGCACCGCCAACTCCCTTAAGCTCATATGACTTCCACAGGCTCCTCCACTGGGGCAGGGGCTGGCTCCTGTGGCCGGTGGAGATGCCGGGAGGCGACACGCGAGGCCGAGGGCTGAGCCAGGCTCTGGCAATCATCCCGGAGAGGTCCCCTGACCGCTTGGCTTTCCCTCCAGCACGAGGGATGAAATCCCAGCCCTGCTATTGCACAACCCCACAGAGCCAGGATTTCCCCCGGAGCTCCTCACCTGCCCGATGAGCGGCTGCCCTTGGGTGGTGTTGAGGAACAAGCCCCGTCTCAAGCCTTCATCGAAGGGCCAGTAGGAGCCGTGAGGGTTGGTGCTGCTGATGCCAGGATCCTGGGGATGGAGCAGAGGGTTAGTGCCTTTCCCGGCAGACCGTGGCCCCTTCCTCCTGCTTAGGCCAGTGTGATTCAGAGAAGATGACAACCCAGACGGACTCAGCCAGAGCCCACACACGGTGGCTGTTTCCCTCAAGGGGAACAGAAACTTGCTTCAACACTTCCAGGCATGTTTTCTAAAATGCCACTTCTGCAAGTCCCCAGGACCCGTTAGGGCGTTTTGGGGAGGGGGGAAAAAATAAAAGAAATCTCGCGCTTATGCAAGAAACATCAGGTCACGGCCAGACTTGGGCTACAACGGGGAGTTCAATGGGGAGGCAACCCGACCTTTCCCTCCCCAGGACCCCCCGGTCCCCACCGCCCCCAGCAAGCAGAACCTGCATCCCCTTTCCTCGCCGAGGGAAGCGGGGAGATCACAGCCAGGTCATGAGATCCCAGCACTCGCGGGGATCCCAGCACCCGAGCCAAGCACCCACAAGTTAAACAGCCTGCCCCACAGTTCCTCTGTTCTTTTGCCCACGGGGTACAGGGGCATCCTTGTACTCCCACAGCAGACAGGAGCACAGCACGAGAACCTGGCCTGTCCCTCCGTCGTCACTGCATTAGGCGGATTTCCAGTGGCAGTTTACAGCTGCCTGCCCAGCACAGGGGACCGGCCTCGGATAGAAATCCCTGGGGCTGGGGATGATCAGCTGGGACCACGAGCATCCCTTACACCCCTGCCTTGGCATCCCAGCTCTGCAGCAAAGACAGCACAGGGGAAGAGGAAGGGGAGTACCAAGATCATAACGTAGCGCTGCCCGTGTTTGTGGAGGTCTTCCACCAGTGAGGGGAGGGAGGCAAATTTCTGGGGATCGAAGGTGAAGTCCCGGTACCCATCCATGTAATCGATGTCATTCCACTGTGCATCCTGCAGGACAGAGGCTCAGGGATGGGTGACAGAGTCCAGATCCCCCACTCCTCCATGGATTTGGGGGGTTACCTGGGGGATCTGGTAGTTCCTCATGGCTCTCACGGTCTGCCAGGTCTCATTGCTGGATCCATAGCCCCAGCGGCAGAGGTGGAAGCCGAGTGCCCAGAGGGGTGGCATGGCCGGGAAACCTGCAGTGGGAGAGCAGGAGCAGGGATGGGGTGGACCGAGACGACAGCAGCATCTCAAAAGGACGGGAGGGGGAGGGGAGAATGGGGAAAGGAGGTGTCCGCTGACCCCTGACGTGCTGGGAGGGCTGGGGATGGGATGGCTAGGGACCGCTGACCACTCCCCAGCTGGGAGGACTGGGGACGGTGATGAAGCTGGAGTGAGACAGAGATGCGGGTGCGGGGAATGTGCCTGCTGATTGCCACGTCGGGGTGTGGGCACTCACCTATCACCTGCTGGTACTGCTGGATGACCATGTTGGGATCGGGTCCCAGGAAGATGTAAAAATCCAGCACCCCGCCGATGGTCCTCCAGGTCAGGGCCGGAGCGGGCTGCAGGGCCACCTCTTTGCAGGAGTGGGGAAGAGAAAGAGACAGTGAGAACTGGGGAGCTACCCCAGACCCCACGGCGGGGCCAGGCACTGCCACAGGCAACGCTCAGCCCCTGGCAGGGGAACGGAGAAATCCCTGCCTTGCACCCAGCAGATGCTAAACGGCTGTCTGGAGGCTTAAACCATCGCAGCCCAAGGAGATCACTGGTTGACGTGGGGAGAAAGTTTGCTATCTTAAAAATTTGCTCTCTAAGCCTAAAGTTGTGTTGTTCTTCTGGCTTCCACTTAAGGACCAAGCACATGCACGGCTTTCCTTCATGTCCCCCCGCCAAATCCCCTCCCAAGTGAATTGCGAGCCCCTTGTACGAGCGAGCATGTGGGAGCAAGGGCTTTCCCAGGAAGGGCTTTTCACACGAACAAGCCCTCGAACCTCAGCTCAGGCGGTTGCATCTCCTGTGAGCTGCTCCTCGGGAGCATCAGCGCACCAAAGCCGAGCGCAGCTGGAGCTGGGAGACCCCCGGCGTGCGCAGATTTGCCCAGCTGGCTGCAAGCAGCGGCTGCGGGGACGCCACGCCGCCGGGCCCAGGGGCAAGGCCGTTTCGGGCGGAGGGGGAATGGACACGGACCCGCACACATGGGATTTGCTTTTCCGACGGCAACTTGGCAGCTGGGTGTGTGGTTAAACTGCTCGGTAGTTGCTAAAGAGCCTCGCCGTAGCCAGGAAACAGATGGCTACGCTCAATAACGGAGCCGTCAAACCACATCTTTCCCTTTTACAGCTTCCTCTCACCCCGAGTTCCCGAACCGGCCGCTCCGGCAGCTCCCATCTGTCCCCACCTGCTGTGTCCTCCTCCAGGGACAAGCCAGCCGGGGTCTCCTGGGACACCTACCCATGGCGTTGCTGTTGAGGAGGAACACCCCGTGAGCATCTCCGCCCTCCTCCATCAGCAGGTAGAAGGGGTGAGCGCCGTAGAGGTTGAATGATTCCTGCAAAGAGGAGGTGCTGGGTGAGGGAGCAGCTCCCAGGCAAAGCAGGAGAGCCCTGCATCACTGGAGCCGAACAAATGGCCCCGAGTTGCATCTACTGCCACCACCCAAGCAGGCATCTGTCACCCCCCGTGGAGGACAAGGCGAGGGATGAGGATGGTTTCGGAGCTGGCGCTGAAGGCCATGGGAGGCTGCTTCTTCCTCGCAGCATGGGGGCGGCTGCTGAGCTGGGCCAGGCGAAGGGGGAACCTCCTGCCTCATCACAACCTGTTGCACGAGTGGCAGGGTGGAGCAGAAAACACCTGGAGCCCTCAGAATGCCAAGAGCGTTGTGCAACAGCTCTGAAATCCTCCCTGGCACACATCTGCCCCTTAGCCTCGACCACCCCCTGCCTCCCCCAGCGCTGCTCCCCACCCTCTGCCATGTTTTCCCAGGGCTTGTCCAACGCACTGGAGAGCAGTACCCCCATCCTCGCCCCCTGCACCCCCGCGGGGAGATGGTACCGTGGGAGAGACGTCGCGTGCCCACAGCGTGAGGGTGCTCCAGTCCAGGCTGTGCAGGAGGGTGCCACGGTGCTCCCCCAGCCCGTAGAGGAACCTGGATGGGAGCGATGTGGCTATTTGGAGAAACTGGTCAGCGAAGATCAAGGGGGCCACGGTGGTGTTGAGCCTGCCAGGGTGACACCAAGGGAGAGGAGGAGTCAAGAGGGGATGCTGCGATCCATCTGGATCCATTTTCCCACCACCAATTGACCCCTTCCCTCTCAAAGCATCCCAAGGGCCAGCGCAGCAGCGTATGTCCCACCCTGCCTCCAGCCCCAACACCTCAGCCCAGGTGGCAAATGCGGGTCTGGCTGGACGTGAGGCACAGCCCGAGCTTGAACCAGCCTCGCCCAGTACGGCCCAGCCTTGCCTTTGACACCAGAAGTTATTATTAACCACCGAGGCGATGTGGCGGTGGGGTTTCTCTGCCTGTCGTCATTGATAAGCAGCTCCCAAGTAAAGCACAGACCACAGGCGCCAGCAAACGGGAAGGAGGAGGAAAGACTGGGATCTCTAATGGCCATGCATCCACCAGTCGTTGGGGCTCACCAACGGCTCAGTGTGGGCAAAGCCATGGAGCTGACTGAGAGCAGCGCAGCAAAGCCACCCACACTCCTTTTCCACAAAAAGCCTGGAGCTGTGGGTGTTCCTACAGCTTGGAGAGCCAGGGAAACCCACACGCAGGGTGAAACAGGCAAAGCCACAACCCTTTGGCGGCCTTTTCCCCAAGCCACCGGGTCCCTTAGTGGTGAGGTGCCAGGGACCAGCACAATGTTTGGCTGCTGTAGGATCTGGCGAGGAATTAGGGCACTGGGAGGTTTTTGGAGAGGTGCTGATCCCACCCAGCCCTGCCACGGCCGCAGCAAGCACGTGGTCAGCCCGTGCTGCCACAGCACCCCTGGAAAGATGAAAACGAAGAGTAATTATTGGCTGCAGATCCCACAGCACCCCAGGCAGCATGCTGGAGCCTGCTTAGGGTGGGATGAGCTGTCCCCCACCGGCTGTGGGATGTGGAGGAGGTGGGTTCTTACAGCACTGTCGCCGTTGCCCTGCGCCGCAGCAGCACCCCAAAGGGGTCCCAGGAGAAGTCCAGGCTGTAGATTGGGTTTTCCGCTCTCTTCATTGCCCCGGGAACCTCGAGGGGAACCTCATATCGCGGGTTGGCTGCATCCGTTATCTGCAAAATGGAGAAAATCCACTTTAAAGACCAGCAAAGCAAGAGGGCAAAGGGTTGGAGATGGTCACTGAGGCCACAATCAGCCATGCCTGAAGTAGCTTTCAGCCCTGGTCTGAGCAGGGGACGGTCACCTGCAGAGGTGGGACGGAGGGTGCAGGAGTGGGGTCATGAGCTCTGGAGGGCAGCCAGTGGGAAGCTCACCTTGATGTGCAGCCGCGTGTCTGTCTCAAACTCCACGTCCAGCCTCAGCATCTCGATGTCCCGGGGGTAATAGGCCTTCTCCCTCCGCACCAGCAGCCCCACCATACCCAGCGCCGTCTGGTTGAGGCTCTCCAACACGTAGCTGGGGAAGTCGGGGGGGTAGAAGCACCAGGGCACCCCCCGCTTGCCCCCAGCCGGCGGGGGCCTCTCGATGAAGCAGCACCCCCGGCTTTCGCAGAGCTCCTGGGTCACCACCACGTGTTGCTCTGGGTAGCAGTCAAAGCGGTGGCTTTCGGGTACCAGGAGACATTTGGGAGGCACGGTGGGTCCGGGCCAGCCCCCCGATACCTGCCGCAGCACCCAGACGGTGACGGCGCTCCGCAGCTGTGAAGGAGACGGAGGGGGAGAGATCGCCCCAGCCTCGAGGACGGTTTCCCCGCTCCCACCAGCCGCGGTTCGGGCAGGGCCGGCCTGGCTCAGCACCCTGCACCCTCAGCTAAGGCACGCACGGCAAACTCGGCAAAGCATGTCTTTGCCAGGATCGGGTGGTCCTGACCCTGCCGGAGCGTGGGGAGATGCTGCCACGCTCCCTGGCAGCCCCAAGGGACAAAGCTGCAGCCCCCCGAACCCCACCTGCTGCTCCCTGGGTTTGGCAGAGCAGCCCCTCAAGGAGTTTTTCCCAAGTCTGAATTGACGGGCTGCGGCGTTTCTGGAAGCTGCAAGCAAAGCCCAGCTCCCTGTGCCCGTCGGAGCGGAGCCATGCTGCTGGGAACCGCGGCTGTGAGGTGCGGAGCACCCTCCGCTCTGCTCCTGAGCATCCTCTGCTCTGCTCCAAGCACCCTCCGCTCTGCTCCCGAGCACCCTCCAACCAGCGCCCAGAGCCCCGACTCCAAGGGTTGAGCCCCGGGGAGGGCTGGGGGAGAGATGGCGGGGAGTCTGGTTTTGCCTCCCACTGATAAAACCTGATTTTAACGGCCTCTCGGGCCAACACCTCCCGGACCCTCAGCAAAGGAGACCCTCCCGCTCCCGCTGAGCGCAGGGAGCAATCTCGGCGCCTTAAATACGAGACACAACTTTCTCCTCGCCACCCCCGGCCCCAGGCACTCAGACCCCTCCGCCCCGCGCCCTGCGGCAGCTCGGCAGAGCGGCTCTCCCCGCGGAGCAGGTTTTATTCCCCTCGGCAGCCCCCTCCCCACCCCCGGCCACCCGCACGGCTCG